AGCAGAATGAATCCTCCCCACAGTCGCACGCAGTTCTCGTCTGCAAAGGCAGACACAAATACCTAACTTGATGGATCCAAACGAGTGCTTACACATCCACTTTGCATTTTTGACACACCTATGTGTGTGTGCTTGTACTCGATGGTGATTACTTCAAACGCCCGTTGCTGAATGCACAAGGTGTTTGTGGAGTGACAAAAACTTCAACCACCATGGCGTTTGTGCATTCCGCCATGCACACTTGTTTGTGCCTCCCAATCGGCACAACCGACTGTGCACGCAAGAGTACGTTGTCGACGTTAAGGAAGGACACGTGCAATGCAAACGTGCAAACAAGGTATAAGTGAAGGGAGTTGCTACTTAAATGCCAACAGTAGAGCAAGTCATCGGATGTGTCCGATTGACAGTGCTATCCCACTTCGTCTAGTGCTGTTGTTCTACTTCCACATGCCTTAGCCTACTCCACAAACACGCCTTCCTCTCGATGAGCCACGCATGCTACACCCCCAACCAGTCCTTTCGTCATAAAAGCAGTCTAGGATAACTGCCACTTCATGTGCCTAAATTCCATCCTCGCATATTAAAAGCACTTCCATCCACATCTGTGTACGTCTGTTGCATTTTCCTTCCCAATCTCACCCCCCTTGGCACCCACCTGTGCCTAGCTTTGCAAATGACCCATATCCACACACCACACACCACCATTCCCCTCCCCATCCTGCCAATTTCTGTGCAATCGACATCGATTCCTCCTCCTAGGGGTTCGCTACAACTAAACATGATGGAAGTTATGCAACGCACAATCAACCATGCAGCTCAGCATGGTTTCCGTACAATAGAGTTGCGTACAATAGGTCTAGCACGACTTTAAATGTAGAAATTTAGTTGGAGCATCTCAAATCCTCTTCCAAAGAGGAGGGAAGAGAGCTGCTAGGCAGCACATATGTGCTGAGGAAGGAGGAGGGAGTAGATGCTGATGGTGGTGCAGTGTGGGCAGTTACCGTTAAAGAAAAAGTCTCTTGAATAGATGGTCGCATTTTACAAGGCTCCATACCTGCAACGATTAATTTCAGCTGGGTCTGATAAGCAAGGCAAAGGATTAGCCTCGGTCACATCTAATCATGGTGTCAACTGCTACTTGAAGAAAAATCCTGTGGGAAGGAGGGTGTGGAGGGGGAGTGAGGCAACGTGTTTTCCCATTTCTGCCATCCGCCTCGAATTTGCGCTCACCTCCACAACCAACATGCATTTTTACCCAATCGCTGTAAATGAGGCGAACAGCGGAATCTTTTTCTCACCCAGTAAACAGTGGTGACACCTTTCAACGAACATCTTCTTGATTGCGGTGTACTAATCAGTCAAAGTTGTGGTTTCGACCCAAGCCACGAAGTGCAATTGCAATCTACCAAATGTGTCTGCATCAAGCGGTCATGTTCTGAAGTGAAGTGTTGAGATTTTGGGCGACCAGTGAAGGGAGTGTAAATCCCTTAACTATGCCAAATAATGTTTACGGTCTTTCGCCATTTTAACTGTTAATAACTTTTCCATCACAGCAAGTGAACACACACTTCCGACCAATCCATGGTTTTGACCTCTTCGACGTCCTTCACGGACATCAATGCACACTGCGCTCACGCATTCGTTCGCACCCGTCAACGCATCGCATTCACGCGTTCCCCTAGGCCCCTTCAAACACCACCGAAGCAAACCCTCCTCCCACCACAAATGGGAATGGGCCTAATTGGGCGCCGTCATTGCTTCCATGTTCATCTCCAATGTTACGACGTAATATGAAGGTCTTCATATTATTATTATTAAGTAACACAATGAAATTCTAATCACGAATTTTTCTTTGCCTAAAGTAGATTAAAGTGAAGTAAACATTGCTGTATGCTCTTATTTGGTGCCATTTTTGATTACCTCAATAGCAAGGAGTTTGGTGTGCTTGCGGTGGAACTTTTCATTTTTAAAGATAAAAAAGGGACTGCTGGAGTAAGGCGCAGAAGTCAGTCCTCCCAGGAGAGGCTGTTTGGCCATCGGCGTTGTTGGGACTGAAATTTAATACATTTTTACCTGACATTAGCGGAGTTTATGAGGACATTGCTAAAGGAAACACCTGCAAAATGAGGTTTGGGAGGTGCGTAGTGATGCGCAGCACTACCCGGGAAACATCTCGCATTTCCGCTCACCTGCTGAGGGATAGAGATGCTCGAGTTTACTTCAATCTCTCCGTTTTTTTAACTATCCACGTTTGCGGATGCCTAAATAATCATGAGGGAAGGGCTCAAGATCTTTGCGTAGCCTTGCCAAACGAGTCCTATTCTTAGCAGAGAGTTTTACACTGTGACAACCGGAGCAAATGGAGATGGCAAACCATAGCGAGAGTCTCACTGAATGGATGGAGAGAATAGTGAAAGTCGCCATCACAACCTCGATCGTCTGTGTTTGTGCGCAGGCAAGCTCAATTCCACCTCCACATAACCTTCGGTGTTATTAGTCGAATTTGTGGTGCATACGTTTGATGGAGGGTAAGGAGCACTTTTGATATGACAGGCTAAACCGATTGTGCTTGTGGAATCTCTTAGCGGTGCTGTCACCTCTTCTGCTGGCAGGGCATTGCTTTCCACCTTATGACACTTCTGCCCGATTGAATAGGCACGACATGCCTATGTAGTGTCAAGATATGTTGCTTCGCCAGAGTGTTTTCATGTTTTTTGAGCTAAAAATACATCAGCACCACTTGAACGATAATGAGACATTGTTATACTTGTGAAGCGTTGCCGTGGGATCGGTGGCGGTGGTAGTTTTGCTGTAGTGATCAGAAACGAGTTGGAAACCCTCCCCTAGATGCTTGACACCGGCAGCTTTCTTTCAATCGTAAGCGGCAACTGCAGATCTCCCCTCACTCCTACTAAAAGCGCCAAAACTTTGGACAACAATTAGCATTATAAAAAGAACGAACAACAAAGCACACTCATTTAACTCATGACAATGCAACTGTCAACACAATCAAAGGTTAATCAGTCCTCCGGTAGCGGCCTGTCTCAATGTGCAGCAATTCCTTGCAACCTACCAGATTTTTTTTTGCCTATTGCAGAATTTAAATGCGAATTCAAAATGCATAACCACTTGTTGTGCACTGTCAGTGACGCTCGCCCAAGGTCAGGAGATTGAGCCAAGCAAAACGAACCCTTAAACAGTAAGGGATGGCGCACATCGCATGTGGAAAGCATCTTTTGACAGGCGTTTTGCTGTCACTTCCAGTCTCCTAGCACGCTTTCCTGCTTTACTCACATTCCAAGTCATAATGTCTTTTTGACATTCAAAAGGACGAGTTTGAACACACAGATATTACATATTAAGTTAGTGTCTTTCTGATATGGTAGGTAGACGCTGTGGAAGGTTAAAAGGCTAGCGACTGTCGGATATGCGACATGTCTAAGCACAGAAGGAAGAGGAGGCGTAAAGTTAAAAGCCGTTTCCCAAAAGTAGCTTTTATTACTCTTATCTAGAGCATGCACTAACTTTGAGGCGTAGTGTTAAAACAACTTGTCCTCAATTCCAAGTAATTTTGGTGGATACAATTGTTCGAGGGCTCGGCTCCTACTGCACACAATCCAAGGCATGCTAAAAAGGTTTATTATTGTAATGGAGCCTAGAATCGAGGCTCCATTGACACACATCTCGTTTCTAAGTCGGAAATGTGGACAAGGCTATTGCTCTGCCTACTAGCATTTTCTTCTAGTTGACTTCCCTGCCGCTTTGTCCGCCCCTTATTCTGTGTGCTTAAACGATACCTAAATGGCAATGTTTTTGTACTTCGGAATAGGTAAGATTAATGAGTGATCCCAGCAGTCCAGTCTCTTTGCTTTCCCCTCTTCTATCCTACTTAAAGTAGTGGACTTTTAGCGTTTACTCTATTCGCCACGATCTCCTCAATAAAATCATCGTTTAGTTTGAGACAAATGCATCACCAATGTTTATGCCACTGAGTGTCCTAAACGATAAACTTTTGTAAGAAATGCGTTTGAAGAGACAGCAATTCATCCTTTTTGCTTCCAAAAGGTCATCTAACAAATTTAATGAAATCGGTTTTAATTGCTTAAAGGTTAAGAATATCTACTTAATTTTTATTAGTAGATAAGTGTTAAAATCTGTGTGAAACCCTTCTGATTTTTCAGTCTTCTTCCGATAAGGGCTTTGATGTCTAGACAATTGGCAAACATTGTAAAGAGATCCCCATTTAATCTACTCCGAGTTCGCGTCTATTTTGCTCAGAAAGAAGTGACCGAATTTAAAATGTGCCTTATCACTTTCATCATTGAAAACTAAGGCTTTCTCATCCCTGCACGCACATGCTCCTATTTACTTATTCATCTGTCTTAATCAATTTCACACTTACATTGGCAAATTTATAGGCAAGATATATTTATGTCTTCCCAACTCTATCAGCATATATGTATTGTCAGCCTTGATTCGAACTTCCACCCTTCCTGTTTCACCGTAGCTGAATCTGATGAGAGTTTGGCAATTAATCTTTGCACATGCACTCAAACAACAACTGCAACAAATGCAGAGCAAGTCGACTCCTTGGAGGGCATAGTTGTGTTCAAAAATTCAAGCATGATTTAAAACATAGGGCTGTGATTATTAGTGTCTTGAGGCTATCTTGTAGGAGAAAAGCAAAATTATTTGGCCGACTATGTTCATTGCGTGTACGAAAAAATCTTAAAACAGAAACCTCCATATTTGACCATGCCGTCATGAGTACACAGGTGACCGGAACCGAAACCGGGAGTTAAACAAGGTATTATGGCGGTACGGTCGGTACTGTGAATTTCAATTCTCTGATAATTTATCCGGATTTGCACGTGATGCATGAGCTGTTGGTTAACTCCACGATGTCAGGTCATTATAATTTGACCGATCAGCGCACCTTCGACTGGAACATGGTTTAGGAAAATTTGATATTTCCAATTCCCGCATTTACAGAGCGTACGGTCAGAGTGTGAAATGACATGAGGGCACGACCTACTTACTTGTCAGTATTAAAGGAGGGAACTGCTACGACAATCGCGGGGCGTCCAGTAAGTGTTCAAACCAAGCTGAGATGAGGTAATGCAGAGAAATTACACGTTCGATTCACAATGGTACAATCTACAAATGGATTTTATTTCCTCGATCATCTTCCCGTCAAATATTCCATTGCCCCAAATGCGTTCGCTTCACTTGTAGCTGCCCAGTTTCTTCTGCCAAGGTGGTGATCAAATCGACTGACGTAGTTCACATTCTTCAACACCAGCCCAAGGAATAAGACTGTCCTTTCCTTGAGACCGAAACTTCCTTCCAAAAGCTTGTGTTTCAGCGAAGCCGACTAAACTCCCTCGACAAGAGAGAAAACAACTAGATAATTCTCAAAGTCGATTATTTCCTTGTAAAAGAATAATGTCAGCGAGGTAGCCAGCAAAAGAAAAACCAGAGACCATGAGTGAGTTAGTGTACAAAACTAGAGTAGACCACCAAGCGTGAGAGCGTTGAATATCCCTGCTTCATGTGGCTCCCTTTATCACCATTTTAGTTCTCCTCTGGGAAAGAGGAAACTTCCATTTCTTCCTCGGTCTCCCAAGAGGACTCAGATCCACCGACACTGCTTTCTGAACTTCCCTCCGACATTGTCTCATCCTCCTCGTCATCCTCTCCGTCCTCGTCCGTGACTACTGAGGTAGGAGAAGAGGATAGAGGAATGTGAACGTAATCGTCATCATCATCGTCGTCGTCGTCATCATGACGATCTTCAACTTCTTCATCATCATCATCCTCAGTCTCCAACTCCCGAATGGACTAGAGAGTAAAAATTAGTTTTTTTAGTCAGTGAATTCCACTTTTAAGGTGAGAAATGCATATTTGAAAAAGGGATTACGCGTTTCTGTCCAATGGAATAGATTCGGCACTGACTGAGGGATTCATCTACATTTTTGTCGCCCAATTTTTCAACAAGAGCCAAGCGTAAACCCCTCCTATCCACAGCCAGTTGTTCGATCCGATGTTTCACGTCTACTGAAGCGATAAGACTATAGTCGAGAGCGTCAACGGTACGGAACATGCTCTGCATAGCAGCTCGACCACTCTGAACGATTTCATCCAGTGGATCGTCGAAGTCCATACCAAAGCTGCCTATATTGAAACGAATCAATGCGCCATAGAAAAGCACTGAAAATTTCTGAATGGTAAAAGTTGCAAGGGGCTTACCGGCATAAATGACTTCGGCATTTTCCGAGAATGTGGCCTCCAGTTTATCCAGAGCTTGAACCGTATGAAGGAGACGCCAAGTACGCATATCCCAGACCGCAGATCCAACCACAATTTCGAGGCCATTTGGATGGAAAACTCCGGAAACGACGTCCTGAAATTTGTCGATTTTGTGCACTGGACGCGTTGTGCTGCCTGAACCAGGACAACGGATATCCCATACGACACCATCGTTTAAAACAAGGTGGTCGTCTACGGAGAAAGTGGCTTTGTTCATTAAGTAGTTGCTCTGTTTCACTGAAGAGAAGAGGTCAATGATCCGCTCGCCCGTGGTCAAATCGAAAATCTGAAATTCAAAACAGAGCAGTGATTTTGCTAAAAACTAATAAATTAAGCCACATTTTCACTGATTTCCAGAAGAGTCTGCCACATCAAACAGAAAATGCTCAAATAAGCCTAAGTATGCTTACTTTGGCTATTTTTCCGTCAGTAGCAACCAGCATATTTTGCGTTCCTGATCGACTGAATTCAGCATATCGCCCAGAATCTGCAGCAAATCTAAAAACAACATGAACTTAGGAGTAAACCCTAGCCCTATCAACATTTATGAAGTAGAGTCAAAAACCGCATTTCTAGTGCGAGCAACAGCGCATACACAGGCCTATCCGGATTGGAATAGAAGGGAGCAGAAGCGCTGTTAGTGTTTCCACAATCAGTGTCCCGCTGTTCCAGTCGTGCCACAAGAAGCGCCGGTTCGCCCCAATTTGTACAAACCAGAAGCCGACGCCCGTCGCGTGCGTGCTCCAACCGAGAGATAGGGGAGGTCTGAGCTCGGAACAACTCAACTGGTAACCCCGCCTCCTCCACGTTAACCCAACACACGGAACCTGACGAAGTGCCCAGAAAGAGACCATCGTCCCCTTCGCCCAATTCACTGCCACGCTGGAATGGTCAAGAGACGGAAGTTAATTATGGGCAGAAGGAGCGAAACTCTCCAAGTACTCTTACAAACAACTCACTCCAAATGCAGCCGCTGTGTAGAGGTCATTATCAAGATCTCGTACGGTGAAGATGGGCATAAAGCGACTGTGAATAAAGCGGCGGATGAAACGACGCGGAGCGCAACGCATGCGGTGGCACCCAGCAAGAGATTCGCGAGCTACCACTAGACTAGGAACACCAGCAATTGGACCGAGCCACGTATCAATCCGAGGTTCAGGACAACGATGTGGATGGTGGAGGGAGAAACGAGGACACACAGAGACGGGGTATGGACATTGGGCGTGTTGATGCATGAGGAAGGATTCCACTATCTTAGAGAGTGTCATCTCCCCAGCCTCTCCAGTAGCGTTGCTGCCACCAACGCTGACAGCACCGACATTGCCAGTGGCGGGGGTGGTGATGCTGTTGCCACCACCGCCACCACCACTACTACCAGACATCATGGTACAGCCAGTTTGAGACAGTTGGAGTTGTTGCTTATGGGAGGGAGTGCGTTCCAGTCGGTCTCTTAAGGTCTAGAGGTATATGGAATAATACTTAAATGGAATTAAGAAGCTTTTGAAAACGGAACTGCAAAACGTTCTAGCATTTAAATTACCATTCAGCTTTGTAGACCAAAACATGCGTGCAACGTGTTTAGGGAAACAATCGAAAATGTGGCAATAAGATTCAAACGTTTTGGAACAAAAAATGAGTTGAATTTTAAAATTAAACACCCAAAAGTTCAACCGATTTACGTTATAGCACAGCATTTGCATTGAATAAGATTCTCTTTAAAAAAGCTTTACGCATTCTTTTGGGCAAACAACAAGAACTTTCAACAGTCCATCATCATATACACAGTGTTGAAGTTCCACAATTATTATCAAGATCGCGAATAGCTCCTGTGATAATGAAACAGAAAGCTTATTATTCGCCAAATGTATAGATAAACTGAAGTGTTGACCAGTAAAGAATTTAGGGTTCTCTTTGACAAGTGAATACTGGTGCAAGAGCAGTGAGAGTTCAAGGAACTGGTGAATGGAGGTTCACTGATAACGAAACGCACAACTGATGCGTCGTTAAAAATAAGATTTGTTCTGAAAACCGATTACAGATCAGAAAATGAGTTAGTGATGGAACAAATTCGAATGTGCCGGAAAGCCTGTTATCATTGACAAACCCATATAAAAACCACCAGAATATTGCTAAGTTACAGTGATGAGCGGACGAATTGAGTAAATAGTTAGATAAATGGGTGAATGTGGAATTAAACTTCCTCCAATTTTACCTTTGGAGCACTAGAGGAGGAGTTTGTAAGAGATTTGAGCTTGTTAACCTTCAAGGTTGGCGTACTAACGTCTATGCTGTTAGTAGTGGTGTTGACAGCGGCGGTGGGTGTAGGAGGCTCCGAATCCGAGTCGACGTCATGACTGAATAACGGCAGTTGATGTGGCAATGAATTGCCCAACCTCAGCCGTGCCTCCTGCTGCAGAACAGCCGCTGACTTATGGAGGCCTAAGAAGGAGAAATAAATGAAATGCACTTCGCACTACTACCGAACTTGAGAGAGCCATGGCGTCGGGGTCACGCATAACAAATTATATACTAAGGTAATTCAAAGCGCTCAATAAGAGACCACCAAAAAGAACCAAGCGTTTGAAGACAAACCGACAGTCAGCTGATTTAGTGAAGGTCGTTTAAAAAGGATTTTAAAAGCCAATCTCAAGCCTACCTTTAGTCTGGAGATGGCGCCAGATAAGTTCCAGCAGCTCCTCTTGGTCCCACTGGATGCGAGTACGTGCAACTATGACGGCACGTCGTACCCGGTCCATTGACATATCACCGTCGGTGAGACTGCCATCGGAGAGGCTGCCTAACACGAGGCGCATGAGGAGTGTAGCATAGCGACAAAACTCTGCGTGTTCCACCATTCGATCTGGCAAGATAGGCTCCTTCATCAGCACTACAAAAAGTAGTAGTACAGAGTTTTAAAAGCATTCCTAAGGACGCATGTTAAGGTGGGAGGTAAATAAGCTACCCTTCAGCACCACACTTGCTCAATCAGTGCTAAACACAGCAATGTAAATTACGGAGTGGGATGATAATCCCGCTAAACCTAAAGAGGCGGCAGCATCTAATTTCTGCCACCTTTACTGGCGAAAGTTGCTTTCGAGAGTGATGAGTAAGCACACAAAGGCAGCATGAGAAGATATGGGGAGCGTACGCTGTAGCTGCGACTTAGTGAACAGCGGCAACTTCGCGAGCATCGACCGCACTTCCTCGCTACGTGCCATTCCCACAAGTCCACGACAAGCAAGAGTCCGTATGCTATCTGCTTCCGAGATGGGCTGAGTGACGTCCAACTGATGCAGAAGAAACATCAATCCGTGCTGCCGACGCACTGCACACCACAAGCGCATCTGCTGTCGCAAAAGAACTGATGGAGCAGAGGTTGTAGGATTCGGGGTGCTCGAGGGTTTGCCATGAGAACAACGCTGTGGACGAGAACTTTCGGGGGTGGTGAGAGCGAGGCTCTTGCACTGTGAAACAGGTGAGAAGGAGTCTTCACCGACGGAATGAAACTCATCTAATTTCCGCTTTCGAGAGCTGCTACCGCGAACCAAGAGACCAGATGGCATGCCACATTTCTGTCACAGAAAATTGTTAAGTGTCATAAACCTGATTTAAGGTTCGAAGGTTACACCGCCCTTAACGACATTTCACAAAAGGAATATATGTCTCAAGCTTGCGAATGAATCTAATTAATTCGCTTTAATAATGAGGTGTCTCCATCAAAAGGCCAACATGGATACGAACAGAGACATGCCTCAAAACACCGTAAGTGGGCGCAATGACATGGGGCAGATAATCGCAACTACCACGACTACATCATCAAAGTAGTTTAATCACCTGACCCAAGTAGCTGCATGATTGAACCACGGGCATCAGATTCAACGTTACTTTTTGATTTACGAATGACAAAGCATAAAAATGATTTGCTAAAGGTAGGAATGCGGAGCACAAACCATCATCTTGTGATTTCCCCGTTGATAAACTGGATAACTGTAACATCACTGCTGTAGCTTATTAATACAGAATCACAAAAGGATTTGTAATTACTGGTAAGAGGAAGAATCCGCGAAGACGACTTGTGGAAGAAGATAAAATGAGAACACATGAGAGAACAGTTCGAACGAAACACCTAGGCATGACTGCATTTCAACCTCTTGCTCTTGGTGGGCTTTGTATGCCGAGTTAGCAACAGTATGCTGCAAGGTGTGCCACATTGTGTTTAAGCTATTAGAGCTGTCTTCTAAAATTACAACTACTTTTGATGACCATTTAACTGGTACCAGTTTCACTAGCGATTTCGCGCCTTCAAATTGTACCGAATCATAAAGAGGTGAGATCTCAGCCGCAAAGGCAGTTGGGTCCTTGGCACGTGAGCCACCGCATCTCCAGTCTGCCACATGAACATCCGCGTGCAGACGCACACAATGTAACCATTTGACAAGGGAGTGATGCATGCCCACAGAATGTCGATTAAGTATTGAGCACTGCATACATTCGTCCAACAAGCCAATTTTTCATCAAAGGTAAGTCAATAATGGCGTTTACTCGAAATAATGTAAGAGAAGTAGACCGATAATGGCCCTAGTCAATGAGCGGCGATGTTTCCCAATAACTTGGAAGCTTTTGTCGTGCTTTCTCCTTCCAAAATGACGTAATTATAAACCAACTACTTCACGATAAATAAAAAAGCACCATAGAAGACCTCATATCTTAGATTTACTCTTCCATGAATCCACGCAGTCCTTCGTTATCTGAAATAGGGGGAGCTTCCTGAATGTAATGCGTACACTCCCCAGCAATTTAACATCAGATTTAGCTCCTCACACCCCACCTTTCTTAAAACATGCTAATGGACTTTCAGTGCTGTAGGGAGTAAACTGATTTGAACTGTACTGAAAATGTGTGCAATGAAACTTTAGAGGAAGAGGAAGAGCATAGAGCACGATAAATAACAGATAACACAAACCTATCTTTGCGTGTGATTCAAATCGATGATTACGAGGTTGCCCACCTTATTATCTGCTTAACAGCCATGATAAAGCGACATTCCTGACTTAACACACCATATCAATCTCAGAGACGATTCAGATGCCGCATCGATGATGTGACAATGAAGCGTAATGGAAATATCATATCTTACCAACAACAATGTAAGTCTTCTTCACGGCTTCAAAAGGAGATTAGTGTCAATGTGGATGGAGGAAGATGCTTTGGAACTATGCAAAACGCATTGGCTCCTGAAAACTATCCAACCCTTAAGTTCGACATTACTATCAGTGGCTTAATCGAAGAAGTTGGGAATGGTGATTCATTTACACAGCAAATTTCGGTCCTGCGCAACAGGTGCCAAGTGTGTCCCTCCAAACCATTCCATAAAGAAAGGTTTAATGAATAATGACAAAAATGACGGCTAAGACAAAGGCCTCAAGCCAAATTGACCTTATGTTTGTTAACAATGACATGCGGTGATTAGGCACAAAATTGAACTCGAATTATTTTAGTTTAAAAGGAGCCACCATTCAGATAACCCTCCTGACAAGAGCCATATTAAATAAAGTACTTTCTGATGTAGCTTGAGTGCTAAAGCATTATTCAGCAATGAACATTAAGGGAGGGAAGTGTGCAAGTTTGGGACACAAGCCAAAGACCATAACGCTTCGATCAAGATGGTAGTGAACAGAGGTTTGACAATGGCTGGAATGTGAACGACGAAAAGGGAAAACGGAGAAAGCTATTCTAGCGGCGGCCGCAGAAAAATGAAAATAGACAGTCGACCTCCGATCGCTCAAAGTATTCAAAAGGTAGACGGTAGAAAGACACAAAGCTATGACTAACCTTAGGTGTAACAAAGATGCTGTCATTGAGATCGATGGAGAAGGTGTTTGGAGGCATCACACTGCTGGCGAGAACCGGTTGATCGGGGTGCTCTCGCTCATCGAGGGGGCGGTAGACAAGCGTACCGATGAAAGAAAGGATGGCCTTCTGTACCGCCACATCCCAACCATCGTCGTCACGGATTAGCGTGATCAACATGCTGCAGAGCAGGCAAAGAGAAAGGATGGAAGACTATCAAGTCCTTCGTGTTTAAAAGTAAGCATGGTATTCTAGAGCAGTTTAGTCGGATTTAAGCGAAGTAG